TTACTCTTGCTTGAACTGAATGCCACTTCAGCAGAGAGTTTTTAAGACTTCTTGTGTCCACCCAGCATTGGTGAATCCTGTCCTGCAGGACTGGGTCTGGGTTCAACCCAGTGCACGTAGTTTCAGCATCACTCAGGTTTGGCCTGCCCATCCCTGCGTCATAGCCAAGCTAAATTTGAGTGGTGCCGTGAGCAACCCAGGGCTGCAGCTTGTAACAACACTCAAATTTGACTCAGCCATACAGGAGCTGCTGCACTGAGTGAATTTTTCATTTCATATTGCAAAAAAACCACAGGGCTCTACTTATGCCCCAGTCCATTTAGCACAGCCAAATCCATGTGCCCATGCCAAGTTGCATGGAAGTCAATAGACATTGCACGGAGCAATTTACAGGAATGGGGCCTGGGTTTGCAGCCAGCCATATGTGAACTGCTCTCACAAGTAACTATGTTATCTCAACATGGCAGGAGAGAAGACAACTTTTAACGAGTCTAAGCTGCACATTTGCAGTAGCAGGGTAGATCTACAGTCAATCAACTTTCTCACTCTCTCTGCCCCTTTCCTCAGTCCTATGCTTCTGAGCACTGTTAAGACTACATACAATGCCAAACGTAATAATCAGGTACCTGTAAGACCACCAAGCCCCAGGCTTCAGAGATAATTATTCAGGATGGATTGATTTAAATCACCTAGAGGAAAGCCTTAATTTATATAGTTGATTTTAGTCAATTTTTCCATTTGTACTTTAGCTATTTTCTAAATAAAGGTACATTCTCATAGACTCATAGACTTTAAGGTCAGAAGGGACCATTATGATCATCTGGTCTGACCCCCTGCATGCTGCAGGCCACAAAGCCGTCCCTACCCCTTCCCTTTACTCTGCTGTTGAAGTCCCCAAATCCTGTGGCTTAGTGACTTCAATTGGCAGAGAACCCTCCTGCTAGCGATCCCTGCCCCATGCTGCGGAGGAAGGCGAAAAACCTCCAGGGCTTCTGCCAATCTACCCTGGAGGAAAATTCCTTCCTGACCCCAAATATGGCGATCAGTAAAACCCCGAGCATGTAGGCAAGAGTCTCCAGCCTGACCCTTGTTAGCCATTATACTATTTACCTGCCATGGCTCAGTATTCCTTGGCTAAAATCATGTTTTTCCATTAAACCATTCCCTCCATAAACTTATCTAACTTAATCTTAAAACCAGACAAGTCCTTCGCCCCCACCGTTTCCCTCGGAAGGCTGTTCCAATATTTCACCCCTCTGACAGTCAGAAACAGTTGATTTACAACTAAATAGAGCCTTTATACTAGATTTGGTACATCTTTTTGGTACTTAAAAGGTTACACTATATTTATATACTTAATATTTTCAGACTCTTATTAGTTGCACGTTTTTAGTATGTTAAGCAATATATCATTCACCATTTTCTATTTACTAAATAATTAAACTTTTTCTCATTATGTGTGTGTATTAGGATAGTAACTGGAATGTAATTAAACATACAGAATATCATATAAAATTTATTTTCATTAAACAAAACAACCTTACATGTTTTGGCTACATAACTGTCTCTTATCAAAACATGTTTCATATTTACTACATATGTTGTATTAAATTTAGATTTCATTTTAAACAGGATTTAAAACAAAAAACAAAATAAAAAAATTGAATTAAAAAAATTATTTTATCCATCCCGATAGGATTTTTTTTTTTTTTACTGTATTTAAGTAACAAATACCATCAACAAATCCTATCAACTAAAGACAAATTTAGGTGACAAATGTGAAGACTTCATATTCTGTTATCAAGGGGAAAAAAAATCTAAAAAAAAAATAATTAAAATGTGTATTTGTTCTTGATTTCTCTGCTAGGCCTTAACCCCCCACCCTATGATATCAGTAAGTGAATCAAAGATATTTGTTAGATTATTATATTAAACTACTTGTGCTGATGAACAAGATACTGTAGAAAGCCCATAAAATCCTGCCAGCCACAGGGCAGAAATCTAACACATTTTAGCTGACAGCATTGAAATACCACTTTTTACCTTTTATGAGCCAAGTGTCTGCCATCTAAATAACTACAAAATAAAAAAGGCAGCCCATAGAATATTAGACTATTTACATAATCAAATTTGGAGCCATATTCCTGTGGAAAAGTCAGGGTTGTGAGATACATCCAGTATAGCTGGATAAGTTTATTAACTGGATACTTATCTTAAACCGGATCACCAATTAAATGATTAATGCTAAATAAAGAGACTGCTAGGAAACAATTTCAAATTAATTCAACTAGCATAGCTTTTCCACCAGTATGGAGGAATCATAATTGGATTGAAAATAATTGATCAACACTGGCTATTTGAAACTGAATTGATTTTTAAAAGCTGTGCCTTTCAACAGTGTAGATAGGGGTCTAAATATAGGTATATTTAATTTAAAAATTCACAGCAGGGCTTGAAAATAAATACACTCACCTACTCTCCAATGGTAACTTTCCTCTCTGTGAGTGAGATGATGAAGGGCACTAAGCTATTGTTTAGTTAAGCATTTATAAAAAAGAGTTTTAGCCCTCATGATTATGAATATAAGTATACGAATGTGAACTGTTGCAGTGCTGTTTTCCTAAGGCATGTCTAAACCAGGATAAAAGTTTTTTTTAATTGTTTTTAAAACTGTTAGATAACATTTTAAAAACCTAAAGTAAACAAGGCCACTTGCATTTTAACACATTAGCTGGTAAAGATGAACTCTAGGTGACCACAGATTTCTATAGTTCCTGTTGATTTAGGAAACTACAAAATAAATTGAATTTGTTTATAGGGCAGATTCAGGACTGGAAGTTTATAAAGGAGTGCTATTTCATCATCCTGAAAGTTCTTCTGTGATGCACAGTGCTGCTATGAATCCCATACACCCTACATGCTGGGTATGGTACAGCGTATGCAAACACAGATACTTACTTTATATTATCTTCCAAAATAAAATCCTCAATTAATAATGAAACATTCTAAATGATTTTAAAACATCTAAAAATAGTTCCAAACCTAGCATTGTCAGAATTCCTTAGAAAGCACCACTAAAAAGGGATTATTTTTAAACAGTTAGGAAATTACTGCTACTGTATTTCTAAACTAGTCAGGCACCTTTACTGCAAGTTACCACCACGTAATATCACCCAGTAAACCCTAATCTTAGTTTCACCAGATTTTTAAAAAACAGTAAATATCACTTTACATAAAAAATATAATGGCCTTGATTTATCCCCTCTACTAACATTAAATCACTTGAGTATAAACGAATTGCAAACAAAATATTTAACATGGAGTCAATATAAAACTCTAGTGGTCTGGTGGCAAAAGTAATGTACAGGAACATTGTTAACTTTAAATCCAGATAATTTCAAAGGAGTCAGAGGTAATTTCAGGCATTATACCTATCCCCAAATTCTATTTGTTTTTGCTTTTAAAATCTTTGGACCTGATCCTGCAGAGAGCTTCATGTTGCAGATTCCCACAACTCTTGCAAGATTGAGCATTTCAGAATAAGCATATTGTCTTTCTGTCACTGTGTGAAAGGGCCACACAAAGGACAGGGAACTCTGTTTACACAAAGGAAAGAAGGAAACTAGCTACACACAAGTGCTATCCAATAAATTGAAAACAGGATTTTTCCTTTTAGAATAATCTTACAAGTTAGGGATGAAGTAAACGTTTCTCAGGCAGAAGTGCAAGTTTTAAACTGACAGCTTCCCTTTAATTCACAGCACGTTTATCATGATGATGACCAGGCCTCTGATAACCAAGATAAATATTTCTCTTGCCCCTCCCAAAATACAAATTCCTTTACACAACAATCTACAAGCTTCCGCCTCTAGGATATCGCCATTATTATTTGCACACAGTGTCAGGTAGATAGTTACAGCTGTAACAAAGCCCGGTCCTCCCGCCAGCGCCGGGCCAGGCTCCTCTGCGGGCGGCGGCTCCAGCCCGTTCAGACGCCTGCACCCCACCCGCAGTTTAGCCCTAGGTGCCGGGGGCTTCCTCCACCGACCAGGGAGAGTCTGTCGCGTGGGCAGCGGGAGCCGCACTCACCTGCGGGCAGAGGCCGCTGCTCGCTCGGCCTGGGCCGTACCCCCGTCACCCCCTTCTCTAGCCTCACACTGAGCAAATTCAAACACAAGCGGCCCGCCTCCCCTCGCCACCTCATTGGCCCGCACTGCCATGACGTCTCTAGTGCGACCGCGCCGAGGGCAAGTGGGACTGATTTGGTCGGAGCGGGGATCCATCCGGGCTCAGTTCAGTGCTGGTAGGCCTGGTGGTGGGGGCAGCGCTATTCTTCCTGCTAGGAAAACGTGTCCCGTGCCTAGGGGGTCTGTGCTTATTCCGCTTGTTCCTTTTGGGGTGTTGTCACGTGACAAAGGGGACTATAATTCCGAGAAGCCCCTTTCAGGGTCCTGTTCTGCCTGTGGGTAGGAGGCAGGTGGCCTACCGGGCGGGCCAGCAATCCATCGTGCACAAAGGGGTGAGTGGGAGAAGGTGCATTAAGCCCCCGGGTGGGGGTGCGCATGATACTCAAAGGACTACATGCCACGTTATACTGCATTTGGATGAATACATCACAAATAGTTGTACAGGTAGCTGAGCAAATTTTATAACAGAACTGGTGGATATTGTAGAAATCAACCACATTTCACTTTAAAAGGCAAACGACTATTCGCAAACAATCTTTTGTACTATGCATTGGTCTCGACATGTTGCATACACAGGCTCACAGCGGGTAGTATGTCACACACCCGTGTAAAAACAATTATGGATGCGTGATTACAGTGCTGGTCGAGTGGGAACGTGTCTGCATGGGTGCAACAAGCCCTGCTTCTAGTATCAACATTCATTCAAGAGGAAGATAGAACAGAGATTGGGAAACTAACAATAGTTTAGCATGCATGCCCACAAAGTATTGCTGGATTGGACTAAAACTTTACTCAGCCTTAATGTTTGAAATCGTGACTGGCACTTCTGTAGTAGGCTGTGCGTGTATAACTGTAGTGGTGATTGTGTGGGTGTATGTTTGTGAGTGAGTGAGAAGAGGTTGGTATGTACCTGAGGCAGATTTATGCATATGTTTCTATGCAGCTGAGAGGTAGGTGTGGGAGCAGTAGGGGTTGTGATGTTAATGACAAATACGTGTCGGAGATAAAACCCCATACAGTGCGAAACCCTGACCTGGGCAGGCCCGTCCTACGTATCTGCCACTGGCAGATACCCGAGGTGTCTTTTAAAACGTTCGCAACGTTGCATAGCTTTTCATGCCAATAAGGTATTAGTGTATTGAATTGCATATGACGGGATGATGCGTGTGGGCTATGTACAGGAAGTGGTAGTATGCAACTGACAAGAGTGTTAGTGGGTTTGTCTGCAGTTGGCAGCCGTGCTGATTGGTATTGTATGTTTCAAGGAGAGCGTAGTGTTTATATACAAGGGCAGGTGTTTGTATATAAGACAAGCGGGGGGAGCGGGCTGTGCACAGCTAGGCGCTGGTGTGGGTGATCGAGGAGAGTGCCCTGGGCGGAGATGGGAGGGGGTACCCGGGGCTGGCTTGAGACTCGTGCAATGTGACTGTCGAGAGAGGGATACGCCACGCTGGGGCCCGGGGGGAGATCCTGAACGGTTTCTTGGGGGCCACTCCCCTCCGAGCGTTTACATCTCCCTGGTCCCTCAGGGATCCTCTGCTCCCACATGAGACAGGTCGGGGCTGCCGTCGCAGCAGCAACATGCAGGCGGAACTGAAGACAGCGGTGCCTTGTTGCAAGGGGAGGGGAGGCCGGGCTGGCTGTGCATTCATACCCCGGCAGCGAGAGAGGGGCAGCGGCGTGATCTGCAGTGAGTACCGGGCCCTTGTTCCAACTCCCACAGTCTCCCCTGCCCGCGGGGGGAGAGGAGGAACAGACTGGGGCGGCCTCAGTTGCCCCCGCAGCGCGGCCCGGCTCGGCTGGAAGAGGGGGGTTGGGGAGGCCGCCCTCAAACGCTCTCGGGTTTAGAGACTTCGAAGCCTCGTTATAGACGCACAGTAAAACCAGACGCCGCGGAGCCGTCCGTTGAGAACGAGTTAACGTTCCCCGCGATGCTTCCGTCTCTCCCCCCTTGGCTAGAGTGCTCGTCCCACCTGCTGTGGGATGGTGCTGTTATCCCCCCAAGCACACACTCACTCCTGCCCCCCTCCACGCCCGAGGTTTGGGGTGTGTCGCAAGCCCCAAATGCTCGCTGAGTTTTGACTCATGTTCATTCACTCTTCTGCACCGGAGACTGTACATGTGCTTCATCTTCTCTTCCTAGTTGCATTTCAACAAATGACAGCAACGTTTTCGCTTACAAACTCCCAGTCCAAACAATAGATCGAAATACTAATTGGCATGAATTTTAGAAGAAATGTGACTCCTGCTTTTTTAAACAAAAAAGTTGCCTAAAATGAGAGTGCTGTGAAGTAACATCAATATATTTGTCTGGGATATGAATTGTGTTTGAGTATAATATATATATGTATAACATCTTACCAGGTTCATATGACTACATAAAGCAATTCTGGTTAAGGATGTAGACAGTTAAATGATTATTAATGTTGGCTCTGATCTTGTAGTGATCTCTAGGGGTGTGAAATAGTCTGCTTAGAGAGCACTCACTGCAGGGCCATGGTGTGAGGCACACTTCTGAATTAAATAAAGAGACAAGCACCTTTTCAACACTTTAATCTCCAATATTATAAATTTTGTTTACTTGGCCTGCAGTTACAGGGTGGGATAAGCCAATTGATGGTAGCTATTCATAAGTACCTTGTAGGTAATTTGATCCATCAGTAACTTAAACAGTTTCTGGAGAACAAGAACATAAATGATTACAGAGAACTTGCCTAATTTGTTTACCTTTTAAAGTGTGGAGCTATTTAACAAGTGGGGCATAGATTATAATGAAGGTAACTTTCCTAAAATGATGGTTCAGCATGTTCCCATTTTGTGGCAAACAGATGACTGAATGATGGGTAGACCTGAATCAATAGAATAGATAAAATTTGGGTAGATACAATTGCATCATGGGATTAGACATTGTCTCCATTAATAATAAAAATACAGTATGGCATATTGTCAGATGGCCTTATGTCTGTGTTTTCTTTTTTGCATGGTAAGAGAGCATATGAAATGTGGGACTGAAGGAGGTATTTGCTCAGAAAACAAATGTAAAATTCCTGTAAATAAAACCCGTCTTTTTACCTCTTTGCAGCTAACTGCCAATTCATTCTGTTATAAAAAGAACAAATTAGCCTAAAGTAGTGGTTCTCAACCTATTTACCATCGTGGGCCACATATGCAGTTCTCTATGTGTTATGTGGGCCGCAGCCACACAATATATATACTACCTGTATGACCCCAAGGATGTCATATGGGCTGATTGGGCTGCAAGCAACCTGTGGGTTGAGAAGCACTGGCCTAAAGGATATAGCACTCCACTACTAAAATAAAGAAGATAGGTAGGTGTACTCTTACTGGTTTGTCATCTAGGTATGACTTAGTATGAAAGAAGCATATGTCATGATCACGAACAATATGAACCTGATGAAAATAGCTATTCTTGACCAGACAAATGGTCTGATGTTTCATTTCTCATCCAATGTTTGAACAGTTGATGTTTTGAAGTATGAGATTTGATTACATGATGTTATCGTGCACTGCTACAAATGTTTTTATTGATCATAACATGATTCTAGCACTGTATTAAATCCAACTACAGTGTTGGACTCTCATCATTTTCCTATTTTAACTGGTTACAGGGAACACTACAAAATTAATTGTGCTGTGGTGTGCTGATGTTGAAACCATGTTAACCATAGAAAGGACAGTAACACTTTTTTAAAGTAATGAAGCTTAGTTGGCTTTACTTGTATACTTTGTGCTCAGATATGATCACGTATCATTTATCATATACTTCATTTTAATACTAGTATCCTCAATATGTCATGCCACAGTCAGAATCATAGGCTAGAGAGGAAACAAAAGTTTTATGGTAATACGTAAAGAGAAACATTGCGGCTTGGAGCATCCATATTGGGTGAAGGGCCTTGGAGAAATCCTGAAAGGATACCACCATTGGAAATTATAATGGAGACTATGTATCTAAATTTCTGCTAATGTAATGTTTCTCTGGGACTTTGTACCATGGGTTGTGTGACTGCTTTTTTGTACTTCCACTTCCTTCCCCAACCTATTATTTAAAATACTTACTTTAAAATTGTTTCCAATATTTGTTTTTCCAGGTTGACCTAACTACAGTATGGTGCTGTTTCGGTATGTGTGCCAACTCTACAAACGATTGCTTCTGTCCAGTTTAGAAACTAGCTCAATAAATGTAGGTATTTGGGCCAGAAATATACATTCTTCAGCGGAAAGGCTGGAAGTGACTTATGACTATGGAATTAAAAAACAAACGATGCATAACCATGAAGTTCAAAAGCTACATCAAACTGCAGATGATGAAGATTGTAGACGACCACACATACCAGTGATGGTGAAAGAAGTTGTCAATTGTTTATCACCCCAGCAAGGGCAGGTGAGTAAAATGATTTCTTACAGTCGTATATAATTTCCCCTCCATTCTCTATTGTCTTAAGAGAATTATTTATTTGGTAGAGAAATAAAAACCACACTCTGCAACTTGTGCTGCTAAGAGCTGTACTGTATTAAATTGATTTGTGATTCAGATTAAGGTTTTATGTTTACTATGACAGGATTCGTTAATCTTGTACTCTGGGAAATCAAATTATAGTATTTGTCAAAATTATAGTAAATGTTTGAATATTCCCCTGCTCCTGTATCCAGTCCTGACAGATGAGTTCTATCGGGTCCCTTCTGCTCTACGTTCCTAGAGTACCATAGGTAGGAGGGAATTCTCAGTTAATGAACTTCTGATGAAATAGCTGCTTCCTGTAGGCTTCAGGGTATAATGCAGGACATATGTCCAATTAGGCCTTAAACTAAATGGTATATATCAGTGGTTCTCAACCAGGGGACTGGGGCCGTGAGCAGGTTTCCGGGGGTCCTGCAAGCAGGGCCAGCATCAGACTTGCTGGGGCCCTCGGCAGAAAGCTGAAGCCCCACCACCCGGGACTGAAGCCAAAGCCTGAGCAGCTTAGCTTCATGGGGGTCCCTGTGGCATGGGGCCCTGGGCAATTGCCCTGCTTGCTACCCCGTAATGCCGGCCCTGGCTTTTATATGCAGAAAACTAATTGTTGTGCCAAGGATGGGCCGTAGAGTTTTTGTAGCATGTTGGGGGGAGGGGGCGGGCTCAGAAAGAAAAAGGTTGAGAACCCCATGTATATATAATTATGGCAGGTTTTAGGTCTCTTTTATTAGATTTTTTCCCCCTGGTATTTGTGAAACTCAGTGGGACTTGGGCACCTAATTCCCTTAAGAGCCTTTGAAAACAAAACCTGTGTGTGTAATTTGTGTGTTTTAATATGGTAGTGGCATTTAGCTGCAAAGTACCTAACTGCCAAAGCACTTAAAATAAATAGAATATTAGGACTCAATCCACCAAACAATTAAACACGAGTAACATGTTTGGGTTTGTGATATCTTAAATATGGTATTGAACTAAAGGGATTCTATTTACAATGTTACATATTTACAATTCAGATGTGTTGATCTGTGAAATTTAATTGTTCTTCTTTGGAATGTTGGCTTCCTATGAGTTTATTGTTCCTTTGTTATCTCTGCGAGGCCTTTTTTGGAAAGAAATTACGATATAGCGAGTGTTAAATGTTTTAAAACACTGGTTACTTACTGTAAATAGTCTGTTTTTACAATAGTTAAACAAGTGGTATCTTTCAAAATGACATAGAACCCAAGAATGGCAAAATGATGCACAGGGTTTGTGACATGTCTAGGAATCAAAAGGGTTTCCTAAGGTCAGGTGAAATTCCTTATAAAGCCATGATTTGTGACCTTCTGAGGATTTTTGTGGTCTTGAAATTGATAGGTCACTTTTGGATGAATTGAGAAACCAAATATGAAAGAAGAGAGAAAAATTTCTAATTGCTGAGTGTCAGTAGCATAACTCTTGCAATATGTGCATCACTAATTGCTTACTTTATACAGTTCAAGATATACAATACATGCCAGTCAAATATACTTTAATGGAGTTTATAAACAGGTCTCCTGGGACCTGGGTCAGAATTAAGATTGCTGTCAAAATCTGAGAGTTGAATGTTTACATGTGAACTGATAACTGAGTATGTAAACTGTATCTGTTTTTAATAATAAACTGTAGTTTGCACAAGGGGTATATTACTTCAATAAATTTAAGTCCTTTTTGGAATAATTCATAGGTTCTAACTATTAATATAAAAATACTTGCTAAGTAATTTGAGAGGGAAGATGCATTCCTATCTATAAAATGAGGACAATAAATCTCTCCTACCTTGCAAAATGCTTTGGGAATTTTTAATGATAGGTTATAAATGTAAGGTAGTTTATTATTATTTAATGTCAGCCATCTTAGCCCTCCATCAGAATGTTTGGTGAATTCTCAGTTTAATGCATGGATGTTCAAACCTTGTACAACTGAGGGTCATGCTGACAGCTTTTGATAAATAAAGGGACACAGTTTTCAATAATTGGAACAGATTGAATTTGTCCTCATCATGAACATGGAGGTGCAGCCAGTGGAGAATACAGGAATCCGCGTGAGTTGCTTCATCTGTGGATTAAGATGGAACTTTGTATGCTGGCACCTGCATTTTTCAGATTTCAACTCTGTATAGTCAAGATGAAGACATCAGGAGACCAAATTGCATTTTAGAACTTGGTTGGACATGTTTGGCCTGCAGGATTCACTTTGGCCACACACTTGTTCAGTGGTGAGTACAAGTGATATGGTTTTGTGTGTGTGTGTTAGCATGTATATCAGTGGTGGGCAACCTGTGGCTCGCGGGCCGCACGTGACCCATCAGGATAATCTGCTGGCCAGCCGCGAGACAGTTTGTTTACATTGACTTTCCGCAGGCACGGCCACCTGCAGCTTCCACTGGCCACGGTTCACCGTTCTCGACCAATGGGAGCTGCAGGAAGTGGTGTGAGCTGCAGGGACGTGCTGGCTGCCGGTTCCCGCAGCTCCCATTGGCCAGGAACGGCGAATCACGGCCACTGGGAGCTGCTGGCGGCCATGCCTGCAGAAAGTCAATGTAAACAAATTGTCTCGTGGCCCACCAGCGGATTACTCTGACGGGCTGCATGAAGCCCCCGGGCCACAGGTTGCCCACCACTGATGTATATTATTACACACGCACACAAATACCCTCTATTAAAAGAACATTGTTAAAGTTGCAAAGTCCAACATTTGAAAGTTAGGAAATGCTAGTTTCATGATTTTCTGTCCAGCCTTAATTCTGATCCCTTGTGTATCTCTGCTCTGTACCAACTGAAGCGGCGATTGTATGTTGTGTAACGAAAGACTGTATCATAATGTATTTCTTAAATTTTGAGTGGTTGACTTTGCACCCTAAACAACATTCTTGTAAAACAGGTATTTGTGTTTGTGTATAATTTCTTAAGGTTTTTTTGTTTTGTTTTTTAAGAAAATAGGTAAAACCAAATTCTTTGACTGTCAATGGGATTTAGGCTGCTGCGTACCTAAGTCCCTTTTGAAAATAAGAAATAGGCTCCTAAATCATTTAGGCATTGTCACGCTGAACATACCCATGTCTAGATACCTTTACAAATCTGGGTCTAAGTTTTTTGTGCAACCTATTAGGCTTTCTGATTCAGTGGTCGTCATCATCAAGACAAATCCCAAGGAACATAGCCTCCTTGCAGATTGAGCATCACTCAGATTGATCTCTAGCTAAATCCTTAAGACATCTGGCTCGACGTTCAGTCTATGTCTGTCACTGGTGATCTGATAGTGCCACTGAGTTTTTTGGCTATAGAGTGGAATTCCTTGGTAAACGTGCTCTGCAATTCATTGGTTTTTAATCCTAATAATATGTCTGTACCAAGATGGCTGCTGAAACTAAACCAGTTCTGATAGAGGTAGTTGCTGGTTTCAGCTATAAATATTGTCATTGCTGATCTTGTCCTGCCACTTATGTGGAGCAGCTGATGAAATGAAAACATGAATCCACTGCCCCTCAGCCTTCTTCAGCACCCATATCATTGCTCTTCTATAAAGTTGGTATAATTGTGATTCTGTAGATTCACAGATTTTTAGCAAGGTTGATGTCACAATGTCTGAACTGAGGCCACTAAATGGCTAGAAACATGAAGCAATTGCTGTTATACAAGTGTCCATGTATTTTGAGCATCCTCCAGCACTGTTTATGGTGTAGCCCACATACTTGACAGTTGCCATCTGTTTGATAGCCTGTCTAAAGAGGTTAATACTAAATTGGTTGTAATTTGGAGTTGGAGGCTGCTTACTGGTAATGACCAAGGATTAGTTTGGGATTAACCAAACCGATGCATGTTGCTTCTTGCCCAACCAGACTGGCTGTCAGCTGCTGTGATTCACTATATTGTGCCAACAAGACAATTTTATCAGTGTATTCAAGATATCAAAGTAGGATGGTGTTCAGCTCAGTGTCACCAACGACTGCCTCTTTAAGCTTATCCATCAACCAATCAATGCCGATATTGAACAATGATGGTGACAAAATGCAGTTTGCCAAAGTCCTGTGGAAACACGAAACTGCCTTGTATCTACCATTACTTCAAACACACATGCTTAATTCAGTGATGGTGGAGATAACCGAAGTTTCATATGTCTTATATCTTAGAATGGTGCAGTTCATCACCCAGGAAATGCCAGTGGATTTCTTGGGTGGGGAGGAGAAGGGAACTCCTTTTAAAAAAACAAAACCACAAAAGGAACTAGAGTCATGGTTTTGTGTGGAATGACACTTGCAGCCAAATTAGTTGGGGGTATTCTACATCTAAATCTAGGCTTAACTGAAATTTCATTTTAGCTTATGGTTCACTGTTGGAAGACAACATTGCAGAACACAAAGGAACTCATTCAGAAAGATTTATTGGGATATCAAAGTGAACTGTTACTGCTGCTCAACTAAGTTCAATAGAAGATCAACAAAATCCCATGTGCTTTATCTGGGATTCCACCATTGTTAATGGATAAATGTAAACAGCTTTTTTGTCACTTTTAAAAACCATAGTAGCTGGATCAAGTATTTGAAGCATCAGAGAATATCAGGTTTTCTAAAGCTTTCAGAGCCTGCAGTTTTAGTTCTTTGCAAATAAATAGGATATAATCAGAGACAGTGGGTCAGCTGGGTTATGCTAGTACAATGGTCAACAGTAAAATGTTAAGTTAAATTCAGAGTCTGTATCTCATTGAGATGAATGGTGGAACTTCACTCAGTGCTATCATTTATCATCTTGGCTGTAGAATCAGGGCAGTGTTGCATTGATTTACATTCTAAAGGTTATCTTCATAAGCAGGCTACAATCTTTGTGTGTGTGTTTAATATGTGTATGTAAAATATGCCAGAGTTCCTTAATATTTGGAACTTGTTTTTTCCCCACATAAGAGGATTTCTC